ATGCACAGATGGAAGGAACAAATTTACCTACTGTCATTTTCTTAATAACTAACAGCCTAGGAATTGCTATCCTAAAGCTAAAAATGAGAAGGTGGACACATGCTTCCTTTTTTAAATTGGGTGTAAAAGTAGAAGCATGCAAAATTTGTTGACATTTATTGCATCAGCAAATCTTGAAAACACATCTTCCCTTGCTGTATAGAAAACCCCAAAGAAACAAAGCAAACGACAGCAACTTTTATGCCTAAATGCTCCCTCTCTAGCTTGTCTATATAGTTATGTTTAACTAATAAAATAAGTTTACAGAGTTCTTACATAAACCAGGCAAAGCAGAATCATGGGTTCATAGAATCATAGAATCACCAAGGTTGGAAAAGACCCAAAGATCACCCAGCCCAACCATCCACCCATCACCAATAGTTTCACTAAACCACATCCCTCAACACAACGGGTTTGATTTCTACCTCCCATAATATAGAAACAGCTTTACTTTTAGAACTGAGGATGCTCAAGTTTTCCTTTCAGCCACCAGTGTGATCCTTACGTTACGCAACCTCACATGCATGCAATCTGCAGTCAGAAAGACTGGGTTTTACTAAGATACAATAAAACCCAATGAAAAAAGTTACATATTCGCATTTGGTTTTAATCTGTGAAAGTGAACGTGGAGTGAACCGAGCCTCCTGCCAGTGGTGTGTTGAAGGAAATACATCTTCACCTTGGGAGCTCTGGCTGAGCCTGGCTGAGGAGCGGGTCACACGGGCGGATCGCCGCGATGTGGCGTCGCTTTCAGAGCTGTCTGTATGCTCCGGATCCGTGGAGAAATCAGAGTCTTCTGTTCCATCCGAGCTGCTGCCCGCATTCCTCTGCAACAACGCAGACAAGGATGTTAGCAGGGATGCGCTTAAACTTGCACGCCATCCTATTAAACCACACGGAAAGCACGTGGTGATAGATAATGTTGAGTTGACACAGAATCACAGAATCACCAAGGTTGGAAAAGACCTAAAAGATCATCCAACCCTTCACCTATTACCAATAGCTCCCACTAAACCATGTCCCTCGAATGGCCAGAGTTGGAAGGGACCTCAAGGATGATGAAGCTCCAACCCCCTGCCACATGCAGGGCCACCAACCTCCACATTTCACACCAGCCCAGGCTGCCCAGGGCCCCATCCAACCTGGCCTTGAACACCTCCAGGGATGGATGGGCCATCCACAGCCTCTCTGGGCAGCTGTTCCAGCACCTCACCGCTCTCGTAGTAAAGAAATCATTCAGACTAATAATTTCACGCCAGAGAAAAAAAGCCTTTTGTGTCATCCATAACAGCATCGTCACCCTGAAGGCCCTGAAGTGGGGCACAGCGGAGGGGTGGTGGGGAAACAGAGGGGTTCTGCCAGGGGATGCGTTGGTTGTGCATCGCTGAGAGCAATACGGGCTCGGAAAACAACGGAGGGGAGCACAGCAGGCAGCGAACACGGCTGGCAGGCAGTGAACACGGCTGAAGTCACCTGAGGCCGCAGGCGTGGCCTCTGTGAGGAGAGCAGCCCTGAGGAAAGAGGCGGGAACGGCAGCCGAGCCCCTCAGAGCGCACACCGCCCTGCGCCGCTTTGTTTTGCGTTCAACAGCGACTCGCCGTCCTCAGCCAATCATTACGCGCGTGGGTGGGGCCGAAAAGGCGATTCCGCCAATGGGAGCTCGAGGAGAGAAGTAGCATGCCGGTAGGGTGTGACTGACAGCGGGCGACAGCCAATCACTGAGAGGTTCGCTCCCAAAGAAACATCCACCCCGGGGGCGGAGTGGGATGGGGGAAGGGGGGAACAAGGCACGCGCAGGGAGGTGACCGTTGGGAGCGGAGATGGGCAGCCACGGAAGCCAATCAGCGGCCAGCCCGGCAAGACAGCCCAGCCAATACGCCGCCGGTTCTTCAACCATCTGTCCAATGGGAGAAACCGAGAGGAAGGCCGCGCTGCAGGCGGGGGGGAGGAAAAGGGTAACCGTTGGGGGCGATGAGTGACGGGCGGGGCGGCCAATCAGCGTTGCGCGGGACTCTGCGACAGCCAATGAGGGAGCAAGTAGGGCGGGCGCGGGGGGCTGAAGGCCGCTATTTTCCCCCCAGTTTTCTACCCGTAAGAGGTAACTGGAAGGGACGGGAAAGCTGGGAAGCTGCATTCCTGAACCCACCGCTCCCTCCCCGGCCACCTCCCCGGCTCCGCTCACCTTCCTGCGCGGCATCCTCGGAGGGGGCGGGGGCAGCGAGGCTGCCTGGTCCCCGGCGCCCCCGGCTCGTGAAGCGGCGGTGGCCGCCGTGTTAGTGCCGGCGGGCTCCGTGGTGACGGCCGTGTCGCCCGCCCTACGGCACGTCTGCTCCGGCGGCGCCAGCGCGCTCCCGCCGCCAGCCCTGCTCCCCGCTCGGTCCCTCACGCTTCCGCCGGGACACGGCCCACACCCCCTTGTCACGTGACCCCGCGCGAGCCTCACGCCAGCGGGAGCCGCCATCTTTGTTTGGGCATTCCAGCGGCGAAGTCGACGGCGGCCATCTTGGTTTTGGGCAGAGGGGCTCTAGGCGGGAATCAGGGCGGTGGCGGCGGCCATGTTGAGCGAGGGCGTGAAGTCAACGAGCACCGCGGACCTCCGCGGGCGCCATCTTGGAGCCGGGCAGAAGCGCGCCGTCGGGGTGATGGAGTGATTGGGTGGAGGAAAGGCGGTGAGTCCCCGTTGATTTTACGGCGGAGGCGGGGAGCGGCTGCCGGCCCTCCTCGTCAGGGGGTGCCGCCGTCTGCCCTGCGCACGGCCTTGCCTGGGCCGCGGCTGCTCGTTGTGGCGGGCGGGCCTGGGCGGGCCCTGCAGGCCTGAGGCGCTCGGGGCCTCCTCCTCCTTCCCTCCCCTCTGCTCCTTTCCTCAGAGCTTTCCGTCGGTTAACCTTTCTCTTCTCCTCAGGGGGAGGTTTCTGTACGTGTGTGTCGAGATTTACCCGTGTGTTTCTCTCCCAGCTCGGCTTCCTGCAGCACGGATGCGGTTTTCCTTCAGCCCGTTTGGTCAGACGTGTGATCTCTTTGCAGCTATGGTTATCTTTAGGGATTATCGAATTCTTGGGGTTTAATCCTATAATCCCGTGTCACACTTAGTCATGCGAGTCACGACGTTTCTTTCGTTGCCAGTTGTTGCTGTGAGGTGTGCTGGATCTGTGGAATGCTGGAAGGCAAACCTGGAGGAACCTGAGGGAGCTGGGCTTGTTCAGCCTGGAGAAAAGAAGGCTGGGGGGGTGACCTGATTGCAGCCTTTAGTACAAACAGGAGGGGAATCAACTCTTTGAAAGGGGAAATAACAGCAGGACAAGGGGAAATGGTTGGAAGTTGAGGGAGGGAAGATTGAGGTTGGATGTCAGGGGGAAGGTCTTCACTATGAGAGTGGTGAGGTGCTGGAACAGCTGCCCAGAGAGGCTGTGGATGCCCCGTCCATCCCTGGAGGTGTTCAAGGCCAGGTTGGATGGGGCCCTGGGCAGCCTGGGCTGGTGTGAAATGTGGAGGTTGGTGGCCCTGCGTGTGGCAGGGGGTTGGAGCTTCATCATCCTTGAGGTCCCTTTCAACCCTGGCCATTCTGTGATGCTGTGAGGAACTCAGGCGGAAAGTCTGCTTTTGCCTAAAAGGAGAGGAATGGGAAGCTGTGTGTGCGGTATGTGAGCTGGGAACATTTGCATTGGTGGCAAATAAGGATACTTTTGGTGTAAACATTTTGCACACTCATCCCCTGAACAACTCTATTCATAGGAATCTGGGGATTTGAGTGTCTCAATTTGCAGCAGGAAAGCACTGCAGGAACGCAGCAATTCTTCCAACTTCATGAGAGGAATGGACTGACAGAAACTCAAGCGTGTCTCAAATTGCATTTGACCCCAACATCTCATGAGTGCTATGCTGTCGGGCTGTTAGACTGACCTGAAATGCTTAGTTTAAAATATGATCTGTGTGCAACTAAAGCTGTTGCCTGAAAGGGCAATAGGAATGGGAATAGAGGAAAGCAACACACTTCTCCTTAATAGATGGAAAAGGGAAGCATTGGTCTGAATACATCATAGCTGTTGGTGAGACCTTGCTGGAGTGAATGTGCATCATGTTGCAAACTGATGAAGGGCTTTAATGGAAATGGAGAGCAGTCAGGGGCAATGAAAAAGCTTTTAAAAGGCTTATCGAGTGCATCATCTTTTTTCTTTTCTTTTTTTTTTTAATCTTTTTCTTACATTAAGTAGAATCTGTCTGTGTTAAAAGAACTACAATTAGCTTAAAAGGTGGTTTCAGAGTAACATAATTGGACTTTGTAAGTATCCAAATTGAATTACAGGTTTGCTTGGATGAAAAGAATGGAGAATGTGATGCCTGTGTAAATTCAAAGGGTTACAAGTTACCACATCCCAGTGAAAGAGTTGCTTGTCAATGGTTGCTGAAGGATTCCTCTTCTGTAAGCAATGCATCATGTGAGGGCTACATCTTTTAAGTATATTGGATAAAACAAGAAAAGCATTAACTTCTAGCTGTCACTGCAGTTCTAAAATAACAAGTTAAGTATTAATGCATATTAGCAGGACTTCTCACCATCAGCAGGATGTTATTGGAAAAACAAAGCAGACAAGCAGAGGTGGGTGGTGCTTAATAACTTTCCTGGAGGTGGCAGTCGTTGAATAGAAGCCAGGAACCCAGTTCCCCATGAGGTCTGATCCTGTTCTGCTATTTAAAATGGCAATGCAAACAGTCCTCTGTGCAGTTTGAATTGATGCAACTCTACACTACCCAGTGTGTTTATACTGTAAGGTGGTAATGATGAGAGATGATGGCTTTACATCTGTGGAACTCTCTCATGCTATAAGAAAAATAGTGGTCAGGTTGTGTTATCATAGAATGGCCTGGGTTGAAAAGGACCACGATGAGCATCTGGTTCCAACCCCCTGCTGTGTGCAGGGTCACCAACCAGCAGCCCAGGCTGCTCAGAGCCACATCCAGCCTGGCCTTGAATGCCTGCAGGGATGGGGCATCCACACCTCCTTGGGCAACCTGTTCCAGTGCATCACCCCCATCTGGGTGAAAATGTGTTATGACCATGGCAGAGCTTTTAAGTCCCCTTCTGTATTTATACGTACACATACTAGTAGGGATTTAACACGTTGTTGCTGTGCTACTTAAAATGCCTCCTGAATTTAGGCTGCTTCTGGTGGAAATAAAAATCCATGTATTGTTTTGATGGATCTGTATGTGGAGGATGTGTGTGCCCGTGTTTGGCACTGGAAGGTTCCATTATCGACATTTGTTGGAGCTGAAGTTGAAGGGCTGTTGTGGGCAAAAGCACAGTGAAACTGGAGCAGATGCATCCTATGTTGGCTTCACCACTAGATGTCAGTGCACAAACTACAACTCGAGCAAGATGGACAAATTGGGAATCAGTTGAGGAGGAGGAGGAATGATATTCTGTACTCATATTTATGCCTCCTGGGGGTTAAATTCCCTTAATAAGGTCCTTGAGATACATTTAGTGTCTTCACTGTCAGAATGTTCCAGGCAGGAAATGAGGAATTTCCTGGTGTTGCTTCTAAAGGAAGTTTAGAAGGTGCTTGATGATTTGAAGTTCTATGTTAAATGACACAAAAATGTGTGGTTTGTTTTTTAAATCCTGGGTTTTCGAATATATACACATTCTCAATTGCTGTGAATGGCATCAGGGTTAGATAACAGCAAATCTAACTGAATCTGTTGGTGTCTCTTTAGGCCTTGATCCTCACTAAAACTCTTTGAAATCAAAGTGTCCTATGCAAAGAGATGGATCTCTTGCTGAATGTTAGCAAATATAGGCAATGAGAAGGGAATTCCCACCAAAGAAAAACCCATGCAAAATCTTTGTGAACAGGTATGAACATCAATAGGTTGAAATTAGATTTAAATTTCCAGTTTCTTGCCTTGGTTCGTGCTTGCTCTGGCACTGAGTGATCTGTCTGAGGGATCTTAATGTAGCCAGCTTAGGTTAGTAGTGGTACAAGGTAGGCTGCTTATGCTGGAATTGTTCTGAAGCAGAATGAATGCTTCAGGTTTTTCACTTGCTTTAGAGATCTGAAAGCATTCACTTTAATTGCTTTGTGTGCTGTTTGTTATGCTGCATTCCTACAGGGTTACTTTACCTGCTTCAGCATGTTTTAGAGCAAGTGGGACAAACGCTGGGTGATGGGAATCTGCTGTAGAAATATCTGAAGTGCTGTGTTTCAACAATTCTTCCTTGCTTTTAGGTGCTATCTCAGACCAGCTGTGGGGGCTGCAGGTACACAAAGACAGCACCATGATTGCATGCTGCAGCTCTCTGGAGCGTTGCCACACAGACATGAGGATCCAAGATTGCCACTTCACTTCGTGTTCACATCTTCTGAAGGTGAGTAGAGTTGACTTTGATCTGGTTTGGGTTCCAACGTGGTACCCTTCAGTGTCTGTTCTCTGAGTGTGGTAAGTCAGGGCAATAGAGCAGCATAAGGGAGCCTCTTGATCCAAGATATAAAGCTTGAAGAATTTCTGCTCCCAGCTTGATGTGTCTTAAAGGCCTGTACTGAAGTGGGTCGCTCTTACTATAAAATAACTGAAGCCTGGCTGCTGCTTGCTGGTTATATTTTTGGATAGGTCCCTGAGCAACCTGATCTACTTTGGCTCTTCTTTAGAGCAGGGGATGGAGCCTAAATTATGTTTACTGTGACTAGTGAGAAGCTTAAATTTGGTTATTGACTGGATTAAACAAAGTACAGACAGTGACATGCAAGCAAGTTAATTGCTGGTATGTGTATGCAGATGGCAGAAGGTGCAAAATACAGAATTTATAGAAAACAGGGTGTGGAACCTGGGCTGACAACAAGCATAGCTCTAGGTATTTTCTGAGCCTTGGCTTCTGTTCAGCAGTGAGGAGACCAGCTCTCCTCCGGGCCTTAGCACACATCAGAAATAAACCCAACAGCAACAAATGGATTTAGTTCAGACAGTAATAGTGGTGAAATCACTTCAGACTGAATTGATTTGTATGTTGGCATGGTATCTTTATTTTTTCACTTCCACGTGAATACCAGCTGTTGCACATCTGAAAAACTCCAGTTTTGAGGATTTGTTTGCAGACAGTTCAGCAGCTGATAAGCGACCTGTTTCATTTCTTCCATGCCCTGTTCTCTGATAAAACAGAACAGGAGCCTAGCAAACTGTATGTCTGGGGAGGGAGTGGGTGGCATTATTATTATTTTTAAGCCTGAAGCTTGTTTAGATTCGAATGGATGCTGTCTTGTGGGTATAAATAGTCAGGAAAACCCTTTTAGGAGAATTGCAGCCATGTACTGTGCATTGAGCTGAAGGCCTTACAGAACACAACTTGCTGTAGTTGTATAGGAGTGCTTTAGTTGACCTGAACAGAAACCTACTCACTCCTTCCCCAGGGGCTCTGGCATGCAGACATCTGAGTAGAGCCTGTGTTTTATGGCAACAGAAGGAAAATCAAGCCAGTTTGGCCTGCATCTGTTTTGTTGTTTTTTTAATTGTAACGGAAAAAGGATCCAGTCTGAGTCTGAAAGCAGAAGTTTTACACTTAGTTACAGCTGAATATAGCCACACTTCCTGCTTTCCTCCCTCCCCTCCTCCCTGCCTCCCCTGGGTCTCATAGCATAATCTACTTATTAAATAGTTGCAATAAAAGTACATTTTGCCCTAGCAGGACCAAAGCCTATTGGTAGGGAAGATATTTTTATGCCATCCTTGTCCTGTTCCTGCCAAAATGAGGGTGTTTTTTGGACTCTTGTCTGCTTTTGGATTTGTGATCTGCTCCTTTAATACATTCCTTCCAGTCTAGGCAGTGTTCCCCAACTGCCTGGCACTGATGTTAATGCCTTGCTTCCTAATCAATCAAGTCCACTCCATGCTTCCTTAAAGGAAAACTCTGCTCATGTTGTTCAGCCCAGTGACACAAACTTCCACAGGTGTAAGAAACGTTTGTCACTGGCACATGGCACCAATGTGGGATGTGAAGGCCAAACTTTAATCCTGTTTGGCATTTCTGAGCCTCTGGGCAGTTCTTTCCTTGAAACTGACTGTGGTACTGTGGGCAACCAGCAGAGATTTAGTAGCTCAGTTTCCAGCTGTCCTAAATAACTTGATTATAGCAAGAACTTTGAGGATGTTAACAAGGGGTCATGTGTGCGTATGGTGGGGGCAGAATTTGTTTTTACTTTCTCCAGTAATGGATGCAAACTGCCTATACAAAATGGATGGGGAATGTAACTGGAGGAAGTGTGTCTCAAGATGGAATCAGTCACTTTTATCTGTTTTTATGTTAAGGTTCACTGTCCTTTGTGTCTATATCTAGAAAACAATATAGTGTCAAATAAGTAAAGATTGGGGTGAGCAGTGTTACTGCTTTTGGGGGCTTGTGTCCTATTTGAAGTGCAGTGCAGCAAAATGGCTGTTCCTAGGGTAAGGTTTATGTGCCAGCTGGAACTGCTGACTTCCTTTAAAACTCCTGGTTTTGTAATTATTCATGGCAAAAAACTGTTTCTTCCCATATGAACTCCTGGCTTACTGAGCTATGAGGTGAGCCAAGTAGGTTATTTTCTTCAGTGTCTGCATTTTTTCCTAATTACTTTGTGCCAGTTGTTACCACGCAGTTTTCTTTACCTGTGCTTCAAAATTCACAGGCTTCATGTTCTCAAAAGGCTCAGCAGTGTTTTTTCTGGAGCTCATCTTGGGACTGCCTGGTATCTGAGAGAATGATATCCTTGTGCCAAATACAGCCTTTTATGTAAACATATTTTTTTTTTCTGTATCACGTTTCTAACATTTTCTAATCTAATTCAGTTTCAGGAAGCAGAGAGGTGGTGCTGTGTGACTGAGCAGCTGTGGTTTGCCAGGCAGTGGCAGATGGGTGAGCTAGAGCTCTCCTTGCTGACATTTCTTTTTGCCAGCTGAGAAACCAGGGGCTTGACTATCCTGAGAACATAAAGCTTCTCCTCCTATTCTTTAACACGTTCCCCTAAGCAAGCTGTCATTCCTTGGTAGTTAACATTTTACATCTTGTATTATTTTAGGAAATTATATTGATAATTTCTGAACACAAGTGGTTGGGAATGGGAGGAGAAGTAAGGTCATCTCTTCAGGTAAGTGGGAGCTGTCATTGTAGATTGCAGGTCCTGGCATCCTTTACGTAATGCCAGCTCCTGCATAGGTGCATGGCCTGGCACAAGGCTGGGAGTTGCTCTGAATGCCTTCATACTAATGGTGATAAAGAAGCAAAGCAGAAATCCTGTGTCCAAGCTTCTTCAAGCATGTGATGAAAGGATCCCAAACAAGATAGTAAATTTATTTCCTTCTGTGTCTGTTTTCCATTAGGATGGATTTCAGGGTCATAGCAGTGGGATGATCAGGAGGCTGTTGTAGTGGGTAGAAGGGAAGCAAGCAGCAGTGGATATGCTGAAGGTGTTTGTTGTGCTTTGTTATAGCTCTTCCTGCACCAGGCACTGCTGCTTACACTATTTGTTTAAATGAGAGCTACTCTCCTGGCTCTGAGTGCCTCCCTGGTTTGTATCCATCTGTCTGTTCTCCTTGGTCCTTGCATTCATTTACGTGCTCTGTTCTGATGTTGGCAGTGCTGGACGTCAATGAATACTTGGAGGTGCAATCTTCCTTTCTGTTTTATTGATGATTCATGCTGTTAGGAGATGCTTCCTGCCTTTCCATGACTTAGTGAAAGCAATCCATTTCATAACGTCTCCTTACTCTTAGCAGAGCTTATACTTTGTTCCCAAAACTCCCACTGTTTTCACTGCAAGCATGACCAGACTGTGAAATAGCTTGGCTGGTCTGGTGAATAATGTGTTAGACTCTTTTAATAAACGGCAGTTGTATTTATCTTACTCCATAGGGCTTTTCATCTCAAAACATTTGAGTGCAGAAACTGTCCAGTAGTGAAATGCAGCCGTCTCTCTTGGAGACAGGGTGGGAGGCAGACAGGCGTTTTACTACACGGTTTAGAGTGAGAGGAATTTTGTTTAAGGACAATGAGGGAAAGCTGAGCTTGTGTGCTGAATGACCCTTTGATCTTCCACGTTCATGCTCAGCTGATCAGGACTTTAAATCTAAGCTCTGTCTGCTCCTACCCGTAGCGAACAGCCAGAAATGTCTCTCATTTGGGACCTGAGCGCTGCACTAGAATGGCAGCACTGCAGTGACATCTGTTCAGCCTTGCATGTCTCCTGTCTGCTTGTTATTTCCACGTAGCTGTTCTGGGTTGTACTTGAAGGAGTAAATTGGGGAGGGTAAAGCCAGGCCTGTTAAACAAAGTTATTTTGCTGCATGCTTGTAAGCTGAGGAGCTGGGCAATGCTGTAGCATTAAAGGCTGCTTTCTGGAGCGTGCTGCGTAGGTCAGTCCATAGCTATAAGAGAACCCTAAAGCTTTGTGGTGTTTGCTCATTGTGATGAAATGACTGTCTGCCCAGGGGTCTGAAAGCTGAGGAGAGTTAACCAGTGGTGAGGTTGGTCAACTCTGTGCGAGGAGAAAAAGCTGTGGAAACCGCTGTAGCAGATGCAATAGGAGTGAACAGACACGGTATGATAAGATGGATCCTTGACCTGCAGCCTGTGAGCAGTTGTAAAAGCTTGTTACTTCTGCTACTATGCAGCACATCATTAGGAAACTTAATTACTGGGAGGTGACTACATTGCGTAGGCTAGAGCGTAGCCTGCAGGAATGTAGGAGCTTTAATTTTACAACGCTTGTTTGTGGTGTATCTCTCCCCAGCAATGGCACAGCAAGGGCTGATCTTGTTGCAAATGAAACAAATTCAGCTGGCTGATAATGTGCAGCTCATCTGAGCTGGCTGGTTGCAGCCCCTTGATAGGTAACAGCTGGTGATGTCTTGCTTCTTCCTATGTAATAAAACAAAATGTAGATTTTTAAAGCTTGGAGGAAACATTTGATGAAAGCAAAACTTGGACTTGAGACAACATGGTGCTTTGCTTAGTTGTGCTGAACCACTTTCATCTGAATAGTCCTTGCAGTATTTTTAGCATGAGATATGGTAAGAACAGCCAGAGGCACAGCTGTGTGACCTTTATGCTAAAACAAAACAACACAGAGGAGTGAATATTTTTACTTTGTTCCAGCTGTAAGTATTGGGTTCAAATTGTGGTGCCTTAAAAGTGTGGCAAAGAAACCGAAAGGTGAATTTGAATTTGTAGGCTGGAAGGACTGACAGAGAGTCCTGGAAGAAGGCTGAGTGAACTGCCTGCAGTAGAAGGAAGTCACAGTTCCTCTGTTTGGCCTTTAAGAATACTTTATGTCCCCCTGAACATCTTGCTGCTGTGTGTTTTGGGGAGGAAATATTTTCAGGAAGGGCATCCTTGATATGAAG